CTTATTGGGCGTTAACGTCGGTGTTTAACCATGTCTCAGCAAGGCCTAATACGTTCGGTCGCTGAGAGCTTACGAAGTCGTACAGCACCCCACGTTGGTTTATCAAACTGCATACATTAGTAGAGGCTACACGCAGACCGCGGTAGGACCCGCTGGGCGCGCCTGAATTATTAGCAAACTTTTGATCCGGATTCGTGGAGGAACCGGGGCAACTACTAGAAAATATTCAATACGGAGTTTTGTTTCTCCATCCTCCGTGCTCCGCTTTAATTCAATCATGGTAGACTTGAGTTTTTCTCTGTCTGCCGGTTCTAAGTCAGCGCGTACGTGGATCTTTAGACCCATTAGCCTATTAAGTCGAGACAATAGTAACTTGGTACTTGCTTCTTCGACAAATGTCACCCTCATTGGTCGACCTTTGCCCTCCATTCTCTTTCCTAGAAGGGCGATCTGCTGCACTTTGAGCCCGTCCTCATTTACATCGAGTAGTTTGTCAAGCAATGATTGCAAATATTCGACGTCATGTGCATAACGCACCTGAGGATTAGAATCACCTGACTCAGGTGCGTAAAAGACCATGAGGCTACGGTGCCTCAGGTCATTAGATATTGGTCTTGGTTTCTTCGATGTTTGTACCCTCCAATCATTATCATCAGTTTGTTTATTGCAAATTGGAACTTTACTGTCAGCTGAACATATAGTAGGTCTTGAGGGAGAGTCTGATGGAACTTTATTACCTTGTTTCCGCAATGTATGCGATTTGGATGATGATAATTATACTAATCAATATGATGGTAAAAAGATGATGTGTTTGATGATTATGCTAATTAGAGGAATATGGTGATGCAGAGGATGTTGGTTATTATAACGGTGATGATGAATTGTGTGTTAATAGTGATGCTGAATATGTTGATGATAACTATGGGGATGATGATGATACATACTTTGACGATGCTGCTGATAATGATAACGATGATAATGATGATGATATTGTTGTTGATCCCGAATGTGAAGATGATGCTTATGAAGAAGATGTTCGTGATGATGATGGTAAATGTAATTACCTTGGTGATGATGATGAAAATGATGATTATGATGATTACCATGACTATGATAATGATGATGATGTTGATGTTGCTGAAGATGATAAGGATGATGATGATAATGATAGAATTGAGGATGATGATGACGATAATACTGGTGATAATGTTGCACATAATGATAATTAAAATAAGGTTTATGATGATGTTGATGATATTGATCATATATTTACGCTTACAATGTTTTGGAAAACTGGTAGCTCGGGTCGATAATTCAATTGCTCATTTGTTCGCCGAGCTGCGAACAATTGAAAGGCGCACCAATGGGATCATCTATATTGGGACTCATCGCGGAGATGGTAATGCAGAAATTGGAGAGAGATGTACTCCCACTCATTAATCCGAAACTGTGGGTACGATATGTTGACGACACTTTTGTGACCATCAAACGCAATCAAGTTACAGTCGCACAGCAGCTATTGAACAACGCCATTGAAGACATCCGGTTTACAATGGAAATGGAGAAGGAAAACCAACTGCCTTTCCTGGATGTCTTGGTAACCAGAACCATGAAAGGGAAGCTGCAAACATCAGTTTACAGAAAATGGACACATACGGACCAAATTCTGAATTTCAACTGTAACCATCCGAAATGCCACAAATTAAGCTGTAGGCGGACACTATTTGGTAGAGTGCAAAAACACTGCAGTACCACGGAGGCAAAGCAGCAAGAAGAGAAGCATCTATTCAAATGTTTCCAACTCAACGGATATCCACGAAGCTTCATCTGAAGGTGTCTGAAACACAACAAACCAAACAGGCAGTCTACACCAACGACAGAGAGACGCGTTGTTTTACCTTATATGAAGAATATATCCGAAATGGCAGCAAGACTATTCAAACAACATCACTTCATCGGAGCACACAAACCAACTGCTACACTGAGAAAAACTCTGTCGAAACCGAAAGAGAAACTGGAAGCTCATGAGCAAAGCAATGTTGTATATAGACTACTTTTTAGAACTTGCGAAAAGGACTATGTTGGCCAAATAGGCAGAAAATTAACAACCCGATTACAAGAGCATAAAAGAGCATGCAAAAGACACTATGCATCTTCACTAGTCTCAGCACATGTGGATGAAAAAGAACACAGCTTTGATTGGGCAAAACTGAAGTCCTGGCACGATGTGAAACAAGAAGAGCAAGGGAATTCCTGGAATCGTGGTTCTCAACACAAGACTCGATCAACATTCATATCGAGATTGACCCAGTTTACCAACCCATCTGACGGAGAGAAATTAGAGATATTATGAGAAGCCGCTTAAATAGGAACAACCCAAGCGACTACCTCCGCCACGGGGAAATGGATAGAGATCACGGGACACAGATCGAAGCCGTCACTTTCAAAATTTCACCTGCATTCCGATCACGGGTCGACAATTCAATCAGCGAGATTACATCCCACATCACGACGCACTGCTGATGCCTTCTCGCATGACGGTGAAACGTTTGCAAAACAATTTCGCAGCTCGACGAACAAATGAGCAACTGAATATATTGATGCTGATTATAAAGCTTATGATCATGATTATGATGGATATGTTGATGATGATGATGATGTTGATGATTATGATGATGACGGTCACCATGATAATGACTATAATTATGAAATGATGGAGATTATTTTGAAGATTTGGATGATGGTGATGATGATGAGTACGATGACATTACTTTGATTATGACGATGGTGAATAAAATGGTGATGAATGTGATAATGATGTTGCTAATGTTAATGATTATGATGATTTTTACGATGATGATAAGGTTGATGATGATGATATTGATGATGATGATGATGATGAGGATGTGGATGATCATGATGATAGTGATGATGAAGATAAAGATGATAATGTTAATGATGATGATGATGATAAATATGATGAGGTTGATGACCATGATGGTGATGATGATGATGATGATGATGATGATGATGATGATGATGATGATGATGATGATGATGATGATGATGATGATGATGATGATGATGATGATGATGATGATGATGATGATGATGATGATGATGATGATGATGATGATGATGATGATGATGATGATGATGATGATGATGATGATGATGATGATGATGATGATGATGATGATGATGATGATGATGATGATGATGATGATGATGATGATGATGATGATGATGATGATGATGATGATGATGATGATGATGATGATGATGATGATGATGATGATGATGATGATGATGATGATGATGATGATGATGATGATGATGATGATGATGATGATGATGATGATGATGATGATGATGATGATGATGATGATGATGATGATGATGATGATGATGATGATGATGATGATGATGATGATGATGATGATGATGATGATGATGATGATGATGATGATGATGATGATGATGATGATGATGATGATGATGATGATGATGATGATGATGATGATGATGATGATGATGATGATGATGATGATGATGATGATGATGATGATGATGATGATGATGATGATGATGATGATGATGATGATGATGATGATGATGATGATGATGATGATGATGATGATGATGATGATGATGATGATGATGATGATGATGATGATGATGATGATGATGATGATGATGATGATGATGATGATGATGATGATGATGATGATGATGATGATGATGATGATGATGATGATGATGATGATGATGATGATGATGATGATGATGATGATGATGATGATGATGATGATGATGATGATGATGATGATGATGATGATGATGATGATGATGATGATGATGATGATGATGATGATGATGATGATGATGATGATGATGATGATGATGATGATGATGATGATGATGATGATGATGATGATGATGATGATGATGATGATGATGATGATGATGATGATGATGATGATGATGATGATGATGATGATGATGATGATGATGATGATGATGATGATGATGATGATGATGATGATGATGATGATGATGATGATGATGATGATGATGATGATGATGATGATGATGATGATGATGATGATGATGATGATGATGATGATGATGATGATGATGATGATGATGATGATGATGATGATGATGATGATGATGATGATGATGATGATGATGATGATGATGATGATGATGATGATGATGATGATGATGATGATGATGATGATGATGATGATGATGATGATGATGATGATGATGATGATGATGATGATGATGATGATGATGATGATGATGATGATGATGATGATGATGATGATGAGAACTGAGAACTGAGAACTGGTGCGAAGCAGCGAGTAGAGGTTGCTCTGTGTAGCTGCATCATTCGTCGTTTTCGGACATGAACTTTTTATTTATCGTTTCGCTCTTTGTACTTTGCCTCTGCAAATTGTTTGTCTAGTAGCATCTTGAATTTAGCCACTGTGTTCGCTTCTACTATATGCTGAGGCAGGTCGTTCCAGACATTCACCACTCTGCGTTCGAAACAGAGTTGATGGGCGACCCGCTTCAAATCCGGGACGATAAGTTTATACCGGTGTCCTCGCGTGCAGCTTGGTGTGCGCAGATGAAGTAGTTGTCTCAACATGGGGTAATCACCCAGATGTAATATCCGGTGCGTCATGATGAGGTCAACCCTCAGCCGACGATAAGATAGGGTGTATAACCCTAGTTTCTTACATCGGTCTTCGTATGGCATACCTCGTAAGTTGGGAATCAGCCTAGTGGCTATATGCTGCACCCGCTCAAGCTTTTCTACTTCGCCCCGGGTGATGGGACAGTATGCGGGAGTGCCGTACTCTAGCATTGGTCGTATTATCGAGACGAAGAGGCGAGTGGCAATCTCTTCGGACCAAGTGCTAAAGCTGCGCCTGAGAGCCCAAAGCATACGAAGGCTGTTTTGGTACAGCCTATTCGTGTTGTCAATGGACTTTAGGTCGCAGCGTGAGAGTACACCGAGGTCGCGCACGAAAGGAGCGGGATGCAACGGTTGTCCAGCCACTGTGTACGTTCGGCCGTGATCACACTTACCCAACCTCATGAATTGCGACTTGGCAGGGTTGATCGGAAGGTTAACCTCTGCAGACCATGTTGAGAGGCGGTCGAGATCCTGCTGAAGTAAATCGCAATCATTGAGTGTGCGGATTACTCTCCACACTTTCAAGTCATCTGCGAACAAAGCACAATGTGATTGTAGTAGCTGAGGCACATCGTTTATATGGATTAGAAACAATATCGGGCCCAGTACAGTGCCTTGGGGCACGCCGCTGCTCGATGGATACCAGTCTGTTAGATGGTTGTCCACCTGGACTCTCCACTTCCGATCAATAAGGAAATTGCTGATCCATTTGTGCAGCGAACCACCAACACCGCACATCCTCAGTCTGTCAAGGAGCACTGCATGGTTAACCTTGTCAAAAGCCTTACTGAAGTCAATGTAAATGACGTCAACCGATTGGCCTTTGTTCAGCGCTTGTAACCATTCGTGCCTCGTCAACAGTAGGTTGGTGATGCACGAACGACCTTTCAGGAAACCATGCTGTGCGGAGGTTAACAGGTTTTTCGACTCGAGAAGTTGCAGAAGGCTCTTCTTCACGATCTTCTCGAGCGTCTTTGCCAAAACTGCCGTCAGGCAGATCGGCCGGTAGTTATCCACTTTGCTTGGGTTACCACCTTTCGGGATAGGCTTTACGACTGAGCATTTCCAGTCGTCCGGTAGTAGACCAGTGGATAGTGACCTGTTAAACAGTTCAGTTACAGAAGGTGCAATTATGGTCGATAATGACTTGAGGATTAGAGGGTGTATACCATCTGGCCCAGCAGGTTTCGTCCCGTCAAGATTTGCTAGAATCTTGCGTACATCCTCAATATTGCAGTCCAGGCTGTTAAGTTCGGCTGGAGCGGTGCTCGTCGAACTCATTACAGACACCTGGTGATGATGATGATGATGATGATGATGATTGAGATGATGATTGATGATGATGATGATGATTGATGATGATGATGATGATGATGATGATGATGATGATGATTGATGATGATGATGATGATGATGATGATGATGATGATGATGATGATGATGAGGACGATGATGAGGATGAGGATGATGATGATGATGATGATGATGATGATGATGATGATGATGATGATGATGATGATGATGATGATGATGATGATGATGATGATGATGATGATGATGATGATGATGATGATGATGATGATGATGATGATGATGATGATGATGATGATGATGATGATGATGATGATGATGATGATGATGATGATGATGATGATGATGATGATGATGATGATGATGATGATGATGATGATGATGATGATGATGATGATGATGATGATGATGATGATGATGATGATGATGATGATGATGATGATGATGATGATGATGATGATGATGATGATGATGATGATGATGATGATGATGATGATGATGATGATGATGATGATGATGATGATGATGATGATGATGATGATGATGATGATGATGATGATGATGATGATGATGATGATGATGATGATGAGGATGATGATGATGTTGATGAATACTGAATACTGAATACTGGTTCGAAGCAGCGAGTAGAGCTTGCTCCGCGTAGCTGCATCAATCATCGCTCTTAGACATATGCGCCTTATTTGTCGTTCCTTTCTCTATATTTTGCCTCTGCAAAGTGTTTGTCTAGGAGCCTCTTAAATTCGGACACTGAGTTCGCCTCTACTACCTGCTGCGGCAGGTCGTTCCAGACATTCACTGCTCTGCGTTCGAAACCGAGTTGATGAGCTACCAGCTTCAACTTCGATACGACAAGTTTATACCGGTGTCCTGTTGTGCAGCTTGGTGTGCGCAGATGAAGCAGTTGTCACAACATAGGGTAATCACTCAGATGTAATATCCCGTGAGTCATGGTGAGATCAACCCTCAGCCGACGATAAGCTAGGGTGTACAGCCCTAGTTTCTTACATCGGTCTTCGTATGGCATACCTCGTAAGTTGGGAATCAGCCTGGTGGCTACATGCTGCACCCGCTCAAGCTTTTCTACCTCGCCCCGGGTGATGGGACAATACGCGGGAGAGCCGTACTCTAGCATTGGTCGTATTATCGAGACGAAGAGGCGAGTAGCAATCTCTTCGGACCAAGTGCTGAAGCTGCGCCTGAGGGCCCAAAGCATCCGAAGGCTGTTTTGGTACAGCCTATTCGTGTTGTCAATGGACTTTAGGTCGCAGCGTGAGAGCACACCGAGGTCGCGCACGAAAGGCGCGGGATGCAACGGTTGACCAGCCACTGTGTACGTTCGGCTGTGCTCACACTTACCCAACCTCATAAATTGCGACTTGGCAGGGTTGATTGGGAGCTTGATCTCCAAAGACCATGTCGAGAGGCGGTCGAGGTCCTTCTGAAGCAAATCACAATCATTGAGTGTGCGGATTACTCTCCACACCTTCAAGTCATCTGCGAACAGCGCACAAGGTGATTGGAGTAGCTGAGGCACATCGTTTACATGGATCAGAAACAATATCGGCCCCAGTACAGTGCCTTGGGGCACGCCGCTGCTCGATGGATACCAGTCAGTTAGATGGTTGTCCACCTGGACCCTTCACTTTCGATCAATAAGGAAATTTCTGATCCATTTGTGCAGCGAACCACCAACACCGCACATCCTCAGTCTGTCAAGGAGCACTGCATGGTTAACCTTGTCAAAAGCCTTACTGAAGTCAATGTAAATGACGTCGACCGATTGGTCTTGGTTCAGTGCTTGTAACCATTCGTGCCTCGTCAACAGTAGGTTGGTGATGCACGAGCGACCTTTCAGGAAACCATGCTGTGCGGAGGTCAACAGGTATTTCGACTCGAGAAGCTGCAGAAGGCTCTTCTTCACGATCTTCTCGAGCGTCTTTGCCAAAACTGCCGTCAGGCAGATCGGCCGGTAGTTATCCACTTTGCCTGGGTTACATCCACTTTGCTTGGGTTACATCCACTTTGCATGATGATGATCATGATGACGATGATGATGATGATGATGATGATTGTGCAAGGGATACGAAGCCTAAACTAAGTACGTCGTACGAAAACTGAACAAGAAATCTCGTACAAATAAACCTACATTTAACGCACCGTCTGGGCGGAAGAATGAAACGTATTATCCTGTAACCGTGGT